ATATATATATATATATATATATATATAGGAAAAAGCTAGGATTAACCCACTAGCTCATATAAACATATGAGCCCAACGGCCCATATTGAATCTGGGCAGATCTGATAATCATGAATGTCTGACAGTGTTTGAATTTTATTTTATTTTCTACAAATCTAAATAACTTGAAATTTTAGGTGTGTGTTATTCTCATCAAGGCTCACCTAATAAAAATATAAAATAAATTATTCGCGAAAACTAAAATGATCAAAATACCCCCGAAAAAGTTTTGGGGGTATTTGATCAATTTATTTCATGTAAAATATTTTTTTAATATTTTTGAAGATTCACCTATTCTTGATAAACACAAACTAAAATTTCAAGCGCTTTGGATTTGTAGAAAAATAAATAAAATTCAAACACTACCAGATATCTGTGATCTTCAGATTCCCAGATTCAATCTGGACCGTTGGGCTCATATGTTTATATAAGCTAGTGGGCTAATCCCAGATTTTTCATATATATATATAGACCCTTCCCCACTCATGAGATCACCATTAAAGTTGGCACGTATCTCTAAAAAAGTTATCACATGGGTGTGGGATTTGACTTTTCTATAGATCCGTGCCAAATTTAATGGTGATCTTTTGAAGCCCTACACACATGGATAGGAGAGCCTTTGTCTTGCAAATTACAAAATTTCTTGAGATCAAGCTGTAGGGCATCTTAAGCTCACTATACACTGTCAAGATGCAACATGATAGATCTAATCATCACAATTAGCATGCAGACGCCTTTTACGTATCCCATAACCGTGATTCAATGCCTTACTTCTCCACAAGGCTATCATCTTGATCTTCATTTTGTATAGAGGCAATGCCTTCTAATCTAGCAGGAAACATATAAGATCCCATGTATAATTATGATGGAAGGTATCAAATGCTTCCTTGCTTGTTAACATGCTTGGTATCAGAATTGAACGGTTAGAAGGTCCAAATGACTGAAGGGAAAGAACCACAACACTTCACCAAAATTAAAAACTAACAGAACAGAGAAGAACAACAAAGAAAATGGGATTTCAATTTTTCCATTCTGCACAATACAGAAGGAAATTAATTCAGTTATCTCTCTCTCTTCCAAGAGAGATAGAGAGGCGCAAAATATGAAAGAAATTTGGGCTCTCAATGTCTCTTCCTAGCTATTGTCTCCTGCACTCCAACTCGAGAGTTACCTTGACCCTTGGGCTGCAAGGGCGAGCTATGTACTCCACTACTGGAAGGCCCAGTCCCTTGGTGGCCACTTAAGGGACCTTGGACAAGCAACAGAGCCTTCAAGTCACCATAGACATATATGATCCCTTCTGATGCCCAGAGGCCTGGTCAGGCACATTTGATACCCGGTCCACCACAAAAACTTCCAAGCACATTCGATACCCGGTCCACCACAAAAACTTATGGTGCCTAGAAGCACAATCAAACACATATTGCAGCTGGTTCGGCACAAAAATCTTCTGTTAACCTGATGCCCGGTCCATCACATTTTGCAGCCGGTCCAGCACAAAAACCTGGTGATCCTGAGGCCCGATCCGACACAAAACCTTATGGTGCCTAGAAGCACAGTCCGACACATATTGTGGCTGGTCCGGAATAAAAATAATTTCATATTATGAGGCCCGGTCCGGCACTTTTTGCGGCCGGTTCGACCCAAAAATCTTTTGTTACCCTGGGGCCCCCAGTCCAACACATTTTGTGGCCGGTCCGGCACAAAAACCTTATGTTATTCCGAGGCTTGGTCCGGCACATTTTGTGGCCAATCCGGCACGAAAACCTTCATGCTTAAGTGAAGATCCCCGCCTCTGGTCGTCACATGTTTCTTTGATTGGCAGATCTATTAAATCTGTCAAATGCATGAAAGAGATCCCTCAACATTGTATGTTAGATATTGAAACTCCAAGCCAACTTTGACTTTATAGAACTAAAATCACATGCTAACCTATCCCAGCCGTTCCTTTCCTAAGACACCAAAATTTATCCAGACATCCTTGTTAGTTTTGTCGTTGGTACCTATGAAATCATTGATTAATTTCGGAAGTAAAATGCCATCGTGGGATTACATTATTATTCTTGGGAATGAATATACAATTTAGTCAAATATATATAGGGTCATGAGAATACTTTGGGACGCACGGTCACTTCATATATTCAAACATAGTTGGCTATCCATTGATCATTTCCCTTTCACATTACTCTAAATGCAACACACGGTCATCTCCCTCAATTTCATAACATTTATGCAATTTGAGCAAGAACACCAAATTTTCCATCAAACTACATAAAATAAATCAAAATACAGATCTTTTTTCATTCTAGAAGTTTGACATAGTCAAATTGCTACAAAGTACATATCCAACTACAGAGACATCAAGTTCCAAATCTATAAGAGACCCATAACTATACAAGATGTTCTTCTTCAGTTCCTCCACCGCATAAATTTCTTGGCCAACTAAGTACACCATTCCCCTTCACAATGGGTTCACGAGCAGGCTCTCCCTCCTGACCGGTCCGGGGGGCCATTATATGTCCCCCACTTCTTGGCCGAAAATTCCATCTCGGTTCCTCATGCATAGCAAGACGGTGGACCTAATACCGGTCTTCTCTTATCTTTGTTCTCCTCTCATCGTTCTCCTCAACTTCACTCTCCTTTCCTCCATTTTGCTCATCACCATCCTCTTCGCTTTCACTCTCCTCTACTCCATCCCCAGATCTCGTTGTTTCCTCTACACATGTCTCTACCGCTGTGTTCTTTAGTAATAATTCACAGGTCACAACTACATAACGCTTGGAATCCCCTGCTAGAACTTCATCTTGAAATGCAGCTTCTAGCATCTCTATACAGGTATGTTGTTGCAATTACATCAATACTTATATAATTACAAGACAAACGAGATTGGGAAAATTTGATTGAATACATAATAGAACTTAAACGTGTAATGAAATCCATAACCAAATAATTTACCCATCTTTTGTCGTGATCATCACCTCTAGGGCATTGTCTAGGTGATCGCGATCGCGATTGGGAGCAGGTGGGGTTATTGATATACTAGGGTGTAAAACGATTGTACCATGCCATATACTCTTTTGTAGGCAACCCCCCATTTATATCGATGACAGCTTCAATAATATTGTGTTGTCTTTCGTGCCAATCCCTAATCTCCACGCTCAACTCATCCTTCCAACTTGTGGGGTGCACGCCAACCTTTTCCCTCCTATCCCACTTCAAAGGTTCAGCAGGAATCCCTTGTGCCTTCCCAAATTGCCGAAGCATGCGATCGGGCATGTAATACTCTGCTATATTGAAACTTATTAGGAATGATCGGCACAATGCGGTTTCCTTATTGATTTCGTTTAATGTTTTGTAGTCCTCTTCTTGGGACTCCTCATATGGTTCCCAATTCACCTTAAGAAAAAATGTATGCCACAATAAGAACTTATATAAATATATGATTCGTAAGTAAACAACAAAAATACAATGACACCACTAACCAGTATAACTGTGAGGTTTTCAAACACTTTGTATGGGTCTTTCTGGCGCGGTTGTTTAACCCACGCGCAAGCTCTAGCCATTCTCGAATTCATTTGTATCGGCTTGGGGTGTAGAGCTATAAAGTGCTCATAGATCCAACACTACACCAAACATGGACAAAAAAATCTAAAAGCTATAAGCCACCAAGACATGCAGAAAAAAAGAAGTAAGAACCTAGAAAATGGCTTAACTCTTTATATAGTGAAAATTACACTCTTTATATAGTGAAAATTACATTTTATATAGTGAAAAATTACCTGAAGCAAGGTTGCTGACCCACTAAAATGCACCGTCTCCCCATCCACAACTTTAGATAAAGACCGATATAAGAAAGCAAGGGCTGCGGCACCCCATGCGTACTTCCCTGCTGTATCGAAGTCGTGAAACAACTGGAGGTAAATTGCAAGAGTTGTTCCTTTAGATGAGTCGGCAAATATAGTTGTGCCAACCAAATAAAGGAGATAGGCACGTGTGTATTGCACCAATTGCAATTTGCTATACCCTTTAGGTAATTGCCCAAACCTCTTCCTCAACCAAGTATGCTTAATCCTCATCAATTTTTTCTCTGTGGGGCAATCACCCAGATACCCTTTAATGAAATCCCTATAATTTTCAGGCCTGATACCTGTTACAGGCTCACCTGTCACAGGTATATGTAAAATCCTCCATACATCATATAAAGTTGGACCCATCTCCCCAATGTTTAGGTGAGCAGTATTTGTCTGTGTACACCATGTCTTTATGAAGGCCATCAACAGCTTGCAATCGACATTGAAGACCCCAATATCCATCAATGAGCCCAAGCCAGTCTTTCTGATCAGCTCTACTTGTCGCCGATCAAGCTTCCATAATGATAGGGCTTTAGTGGATTCATCGATACGAATGATCTTTTTCTTCTGACATGAAATTCATTAGTATAATAAGTAGTCATTGTAGACAATGTAAGAACATTAAAAAAATATAAATTTAATAATATGATAAAAATCTAAATTACAAAGAGCAGCAACTAAATTAATTAGATGAAAATAAGAACATGTCGTACCTCTCCTTGATCCCCAGACGAGGTGGATGAGCCATATGGTCCTCCTGTACGGTTTATGCCTTGCATTGCTAGATTTCACATTTATAAAGATGACAAGATATAATATCAATCTAGAATCAGAAACGTTGAAGTACAATATTAAGATTCGACAAAAACATCATCCATAAATAATATTAGTATGTCACTAGTAAATTTATTGAAATATACATATGTATGCCATTAATCTAATAAAATAAGAGAGAGAACCTCTGTCGTGTAGCTAACATTAATAGATAAATAGTGATAATGAACACGAGTAAAACATGATTAAACTAAATTCCTATATGATGGAATCCTTAATTTGATATAAACAAAAAATATAGAACTAAGTGAGATAAAATAAATATAAAATTCAACATATAAAAAATATAGAACTATGTGAGAAAAGAAAACGTAAAATTCTACATATCATAGATACCTGGGCAGAGAACCAAATTCAAGAAAAATCAGGAAATGGAGAATTAAAAAATAATATTTGGAGAACCCAAATAGAAATCAAGTTCCTGAATGTGTTCATGTCCAAAACAACTCTTCAAACAAATATTAATAAAATAAGAATATTTATCTATCATGAATATCAACAACATAAGTCATGTCCAAAATATCTCTTCAAGCAATAATTAGTAAAGTAAGGACGTTATACAGGTTCTTAGTTAGTCGAAAGAGTCAAATACAATTCTCTCTCTCTCTCTCTCTCTCTCACACACACACACAAAAACAAAAACCATGTTATTAGGTTCGTGTGGAAGTAGAAAGAGTACAAATGCAGTAAAGGTGAAAGCATACTCAGTTCATGTTAGCATAGCAAGAGCATGGCAATGTATGTAATGGTATATTAAGGAGAAGACATACATGTATTTGTAATATGTCCACCAATGGAATTAGTGGTGTTACAATTTCACATAGAACTTGGGATATTCAAAGCATTTGTTGTATCTACACATGATTGTGACTTTCAGTTTACAGTTCTCTCTCTCTCTCTTCTCTCTCTCTTCTCTCTCTACTTCTATCTATACTATATATATATATATATATATATATATATATATATATATACTAGTACTA